ATGTTAATTTAGTTTCTGTGTCTCCCTTCTTTGTTTCTGAATACACATCCTGCTGTGAAGATAGGATGTGGGTTTCACCCCCTCCATTACTTTTCACACTCTTCTTGCTAATAAGAGAGAGAAACAAACTGAAGGTTTTCAGAACACATGGTGAGAGACTTAGAGAAGCAGTTCACCTCTGCAGAAGTTTGGTTGAAAGTTTGGTTGTCTGTGGTTCTTCTTTTATGTAGGTTTGAGAAAATACCTATCAATGCTTTTCTTGGCTGATTTTATGCTCTTTCCATCCATCCATCCATCCAAAATGTGAGGGAAATTAAAGAGAAACTAAATGTCAATTCTCAATGGATGGATAGATGGAATTTTCTGGGACACTTTTGGGTTTTCAGTATCTGTAAGATATAAAGATCAAAATGACAGGAAATAAAGCCTTGAAATATACCCCTCTATGTGTAACGTATCTAAATGTATCATGATCTGTATTTGTGTGTATTTATTTTTAGGGTTTTTTATGTTCTGTTACCTTCCTGTGAGTCTCTGTCTCTGCGTCTCCCCCGTTGATTGCTCCCCAGGTGTGTCTAGTTACCTGATTACCCTCCCTGAGTATTTAAGTCCTCCTGTTGTCTTTGTCTCATGTCGGATCGTTGTCGTACGTCTTACGTCTAGCTCGCCAGTAGCACTGTTTAAGTCCTGGTTAGCCTTAGCTCCCGTATTCAGTCTCCTAGTTAGTTGCTACCGGTTATTAGCTGTGTGCTATTGTTCCTGCCGTGCTGCCTGACTGGACTGTTTTTGAGCTACATCCTTCATTAAATTCATCATCATCATCTTCATCTGGGTCTCCTGCGTTTATCTCACCACCTCTCCATCACCACTCATGACAATATGAGTTTCACTTTCTGACATAAATGGCAAATAACATCATTTCAAATTATATCACAGCATTAAGTGGATTCAAAATTTCATATATTTATAAAAAATATGGACAACCAAAAGAAAGATGACTTGTTTGCATAAATGTTAATTCTGAAAATACATTCAAAGTTACAAAGTACTGAAAACAATTCTCACAACAGAGAACAGGTGAGTATTAATGAGCAATAAACCCAGTCAGTCACAACGCATGTATCAATTGATAGTTAATTGATTTAATTTGTACAATAACACTTTACAATCAAAAACAATGTTTGCTAACTCTGTTCAATGAAAGACATTTAAGCTTAAAATGTCTCTCCAATGTATAAGGAAGTTTTAGGGTTTTCAAGCATGTTTAAGGAGTCCTCACATGGACTTCATGGTTGTTTCTTCTGGCTTCGCACTCAATGCAGTGCTTTAACTATAAACCCACCTTTTCTACCACTGCTACTGACATATCTAAAAGAAAAACATGTAAAATAAACAAGCAGCCTTTAGCCTGGTGAGGGGGTAAGAACAGCCTGGCAGCCCACCAGGCTTAAAAAACACTGGGGGAAACCCTGCAAAGCCAAGAGCTTGTGTGATTTACAGATCAAGCTAAATGAACAGATGATAGTCGTTCATCTGGACACTGTGGTGGTAGAAAAACAGAAACCTCCAGCATCCAGGCCTCTGCTACTGGATCCAAACTTGACGTGTAAATGACATGGCAGTGGAATCCATTTAATTTCACAACTGTAGCTGATGCTGTAACTACTGCTTTCCTCTAAAATGGATCTGCCATAGGTAACTTCTGGGAAAATGAAAGTAAAAGACACCTTTAAAGGTAAGTAGTGATAACAAGAACAATGAGGAGTTCAATTTGCTTTTATTTGACTAAGCAAAGGGCATTTTCAAATTTATGTGCAAACAAGATAATAAGTAGAAAATATAAATGAAACACCTGTTTATTTGCTTCCTGCTGACCTTGTAAATGATCAGAATCAGTGGTACACTGTGGAACATGAGAGAAACTAAATATATCTGAGATAACAATAGTTTTGTTTCTTCACACAGAACAGAAGAGGAGCTCATTTTCTTTCCTTGTTTTGTACTGTCATGACAAAGTTACAGTTTTATTACATATTTGTTAGTTTTAGCAAATATGCACTTTCATTTATCTCATCCTGTGATGGGTTGGGTAATGGCTTGCTGCTTCCAATCCCGTCAACATATGTGATGGAAAGAAACCATAATTGGAGGTGATATGTGTTTTAGTTAAAAATGTTTAGTTATTAACTAAACTTGAAAAGAACATATTATAATGGTCTCCCTTCTCTTGAATAAAATGACTAATTCTGCTCATTTTTGTGACAATTGTTGCCGTTGGACTCAGTCTCAGGAACATGAAGAAAAGCAGACAGATGGGTCTAAAACACTTAACTGAATCAAATCTTGTTACCCTGGAAATTATTATTTGGTCAAATAAGGACAATAATATGAGAAAAATGATTAAAATAAAGAACATATTTTTCTCCATGCTGTTCATTCAGTCAATAATCAAAATCTTGAAGCTAACGTATCTTTAATATATCATATGGTGGATAACTTGATAATAATTTATTAATTGTCTTCCTCTGCACTGGTATTGCTTAGCTACTGTTTAAAAGTATGTTTATTTGTAACGTGTGTCATTAGTGATTTTAGTTCAAACGTCTAAACTGAAACTGAAAATATGTTTTCTCTGTAAATGATAAACAACAGACCAGTCCTTTGTGAGTTAACCTCGCCAAAACATCCCACTGGGGGAGGTTACTTCTGAAGTACAGTATATAAAAACCCTCAGTGTTGTTCCTCCCCACATTGTGTTTTATTCACCACCTTCTCCACATTTCTGGTAAGTTCAAATAATGTTAAGGATCTACAATTAGAATAGATCTGTTCAACAACTATTTCTCATTTTCTTCTCCATTACAGTCTCAGCATCAGCTACCAGAACCATGAAAGGTTTGTTCCTGATCTGCACCCTGATCAGTCTGATCGGCTTCACAAACTCCCTGGTAGACAAGGGACAGCTGGTGAGTTTATCAGCANTTGTGATTTTTTGTTGTTGTTCTCCACATCTGAACATAAAAATAAAATAAAAAAATCCCAGCCATTTTGAGTTCACATCTTAAAGCTGCTCCTTTACTCAATAATGATAATCACACAGATTCAGTACAGCATTAGCATCACCCCTAGCCTTTAAACAGTAATCTTGAGAACATTTGGAAATGATAGCTAGATAGTATTGAGACGCTTTACCAAGATCGAGACAGAGTCACACGCTGTTAGACAAAGGGTCCATAGTAAAGAGTTACATGTTTGATTCTGTTAGACACCAAGGTCCATTTCTCACGAGAAACAGAAACTTATCAGGGACACAGAGACATGGTGTGATTTCAGGGAGTGAATTCAGTCCATATAATCAGCTAACCTCGTCCTCAGACGCTGCACAGACATTTTTAGAAACTTTTCTCGAGTGTAATGGTAAAAGCGTCTCCTTTCAGCGCTGAAAGTGAATAAAATAAGTAAAGTCTGAATGCTTGTTAGAATTATTATGTTTGTTATCATTCTTACATTTGTAATTTTATGTTACCAGTTGTTTTTCTATTTAGATGTTTAGTGTTAAAATGTGCTAAAACTGTGGAGACACAATTAAATCTTCCCTTAATCAAGCAGGTTTTTACAGATGGTGACGTAGATCTTCCTGGGATAGTCCTGAGCTGTAAACCTGTCTGTGTTAATTTAGTTTCTGTGTCTCCCTTCTTTGTTTCTGAATACACATCCTGCTGTGAAGATAGGATGTGGGTTTCAACCCCTCCATTACGTTTCACACTCTTCTTGCTAATAAGAGAGAGAAACAAACTGAAGGTTTTCAGAACACATGGTGAGAGACTTAGAGAAGCAGTTCACCTCTGCAGAAGTTTGGTTGGAAACTCATATACGTTGTCTGGGGTTCTTTTATGTAGGTTTGAGAAAATACCTATCAATGCTTTTCTTGGCTGATTTTATGCTCCTTCCATCCATCCATCCATGCAAAATGTGAGGGAAATGAAAGAGAAACTAAATGTCTTTAAATATCTTTGCAACTTCCTCCTTTACTTCATTTTTGCTGTAGACCCATTTCACAGGAAGGTAGCTGCGGTTTTTTAAGACGTAACACTGCAGAACATCACCCCCCCCCCCCCCCCCTAAAAGAGGTACAGCGTACATGTTGGGAGAGTAAATATTTAATCATCACATGTTTTCTGAATTTATGAAGTCTGTACCACTTTGCAATAAGGATATTTCTATGAATGGCTAGGTTATAAACAAGTTGCTAATTAAGCTATAAATTGTTGTAAAATATTGTATTAGTATTTCAAATTGTCTGTCTGTCTGTCTGTCTGTCTGTCTGTCTGTCTGTCTATCATTTCCGTTCAAGATGTGTCTATTGGTTATTCACTGCATATCCTGCAAGGGTGGGTGTCAATATTTTCCTATGACCAGCCAATGTTCTAGCCCATGTCTTTGTTCTCTATTCATAGGTGTTAAAAACTTACCTTTAACTGAGACATGCAAGTCTAAGCAGCATCCTGCTGCAGCCCTGAGGCGAAGCAGGCAGCTGGGCCGTTTTCTGCTAAATCAGTTTCACATACAGACACTTCTGCTTGTTACTTTCTGCTGACAATTGGCTTATCAGACAATTTGTTCTTTGCACACATGGCTGCTGTTGGATAAGTATGTATCAGGCTTCAAATAAAAGTATTAACACCTTGACTTTGTTGTTTCTTTAATGTGACACTAAAAGTAATGCTATTTGAATATAAGTATATGTAAGCTTAAGAAACTATGTGCACCCTTAAGGGGTAAACTTGCTATAACTTTGTGCAAAAGTTGATCCCAGAGAGTCTCAGGGTAGCTTCCTGTGTTAAAACTAAGCAAAATGAACATATTAAAAAGTATTCACACCCTCATGAAAGCTTTCACACCCTGGTCAATTTTGATGCTTATGAGGTCAGGAACATCAGGGCACTCCATGATGTTCCTGACCTCATAAGCATCAAAATCAGAGATTATTTTAATTCAACAGTTGCTAAGTATCTAATTCAATTTCTAAATAGTGAGCACTCAACAGTTTCTGATCAAATAAGCTAAAGAATGACTGATCTAATTCCTTTTCTGGGTTAAATAGGGAGTACTCCACCTAAAACAAAGAAGAGGAAAGGACACATTAGGGCAAATGGCAACATTCAGACAAAACAAAGGGCAAAACAAAGACATGAGTGAAGGCGATGGCATCAAAAAGCCATGAAACCAGGTGGCTGAGTGTGATGGACCGAGTTAAAAAACAGGAGGAGTCACAGGATATTAATTAGAAAAATAGTTTTTTTTTTTTATTATTTTAACCCAAAGATTATAAATGACAAAGAATAAACTGAGCTCATAAAAGAGGTCAAAGAAACAAAACTGAACTCAGGCAAAAATGTAAACAAACTAGCTGCCCAAACAAACATAACTGACCTAACAAAG